GATTTCGGCTAAACGAAAGTTGAGCCCAAGATTGACCTAGTAAATTTATTTTTTCACCCATTTTGACATCAAAATTCTGAATTTTAAATACAGATTCATCAAAATTTTAAAAATGTTCATTAGGTAATCGATTTTATAAAAAAAAGATTGTCTGAGTCTTAATCATTCGGCTTAAATGTTTGTAGCAAATACAATATACAAAAATAAGAATTGTTAAAAAATAAAAACAGTTTCTTATGTATACATACCGTCAAGTTGGGTGACTTGAGACTGCCTGGTGACTTGAGACAAAACTTTAGGTATTTATGAGAAGGGTTGGCAATACCGCAGATTGTACTGGAATTCATTTTCCACGCGGTATTCATTCACGACAAGTCTATGCAAGTTGTTTTTATAGTTTTTGCTGGTTAATTAAGAAGGTAAGTGCGGTTTTAGTATTTTATTGTAAGAATAGGGTTTGTGGGATTTATAGGTATGTTAAAAAACTTTATGTATGTAGTCCAAACTGACAAATTTATGGGAATGGTCATATTTTACATTGATGTTAGTGTATATGGGAAGTAATTATTGATATATACATTTTTGTTAACATAAACAGTTTTTTTGATTTATATAAGAAAATAAAAAATGGGATTTATAGGGGCGAGTTGAGACGTGTATCAAGTCACCCCAGGGGTAATTTGAGACATGTCTCAAGTCACCCTAATTAAATAATACGTGTTCATTTTGCAGGTATTTACAAGAATGGGTCGATACAAAAAAAAAGTAGGCGCCAACTATAGAAGATATGACGAAAAAGATTTAGAACTTGCAGTAGCTGAAAGAAATAGAGGTGTTTCATTGAGAAAACTTCAAAGGAAATATGGTATTTCAAAGGATACGATAGATCGAAGAGCAAAAGGACGTCATATGAAAAAGGCAGGTGGACAAACTGTTTTCACGTCAGAGGAAGAAAAGAAGATGGTGGATAACATTCAGTTAGCCAGTGTCTGGGGGTTTCCACTAACATCTATTGATGTAAGGTACTTGATTAAGTCGTATTTAGATAGTTCTGGTAGACAGGTATCAAAATTTAAAAAGAATTTGCCAGGAAGAGAATTTATGAGAAAGTTCATTGAAAGGCATAAGGATATACTCTCACAACGCTGGTGTGAAAATATAAAACGGGCACGGGCAAGTGTTAACAGGGAGGTAATAAATAAATATTTTGACGAGCTGGAAGTAAGTTTGCAAGGGGTTGAACCAAATGCAATGGTCAATTATGATGAGACAAATATAACTGACGATCCTGGAAAAACCAAGGTACTTGTCAGAAGAGGTGCAAAACACGCACATCGTATAATGGACAACTCTAGAAGCAGCCATTCCATCATGTTTGCTGGATCCGCATCGGATGAACTTCTGCCACCTTACATAGTTTATAAGGCCGAAAATTTGTATAAAACTTGGACAGAAAATGGCCCTGCTGGTGCTAGATACAATAGGTCAAAGAGCTCCTGGTTTAATGAAGCGATTTTCGAGGATTGGTTTAAATCTACGGCGTTACCGTATTTTAAAAAACTCCCCATTGAGTCGCCAAAAGCTGTAATAGGCGACAATCTTGCCAGCCATATTTCACAATCCGTAATTGACTTATGCAGAAAATATAATATTCGATTTATCCTGCTACCTCCAAACAGTACCCACATCTGCCAACCCTTAGACGTAGCATATTTCAGACCACTCAAAAGCGCATGGACAGATGTTCTTTTAAATTGGAAATTGAAGCATCGGGGGGTAGTACCGAAAGATACTTTTCCCAGACTGCTAAAAAATTGTTTGGATCAACTTGATGTAGACAACAAGACATCAGCAAATCTCATAGCTGGATTCCGTGGAAGTGGAATTTATCCAATCAACAGAAACAAAGTACTAGATAAGTTGCCACCGAGCTTAGAACAGCCAAATGATGAAAACAATTTTGTAGTGTCAATAGATAATGCTTTTCAAGTCTTTTTAAGCAATCTATATACGAAGGAAACAGTAACCGGTACGAGGAAAAGAAAAAAAATTCTAATCGAGCCTGGAAAGAGTGTTGAAAATACTACTCTAGAGAGTGTTGAAAATACTACTCTAGAAGAAGTAGAACAGACGGTAAATGAAAATGGAGTCCATGGAAACCAGGAAGAAATTGAAGAAGAGCTACCTGATTTTACTCAATTTAATAACCCGACACCGTCAACATCAAAAGCAAAACCTATTATTTCTCGAAAAAATAAAAAAAGCATAGATTCCTCCAGTGACAGTAATGATTCCTTTTCCACGCAATCGTCATATGATAGCCCTGAAGATTTTGAAGAAGACGTGGATATGGTTGATCCTTCGGATATAAAAGTTGATGACTTTATTTTGGTGCAATTTTCATATGAGGCTCCCCATAAGCCAGCTATTTTGAAGAAATTCATTGGACAAATTATTGAACTAAAGCCGGATTTAGTTTTGTGTAAATTTATGCGCAAATCACCACAAGGAAAAAATATTTACGTATTTCCAGATATTGAGGACGTCACAGATATTAATAAAAATCAAATTCTGTCAAAGCTGGTTCCTGTGTTTGTTCGACGAGGAAGATTTACTTTTTCTATTGAACTTTAAAAACCTGGCACAATTGTTTAAAACATTTTTTTTTTTCGTTAAAATGAGTTTTTTATTTGTTTTTTAAGAGTTATGTTTTATTTAGATTAGTTTCTACCAAAGTTTTTCAAGTTCCTACTTATTTTTTAAGAATTAAAACTTTAGTTTTGTATTAAAAATGTAAAATGTTTAAAATAATTATATTTTTCCAAATAAGAGTTGTGTTTATGAAATAATATGTTCTATTACGTTTTTAAAGACTATTAATGTCTCAAGTCCGCAAATTGACGGTCCGTCTTGAGTTTATAATGAAAACAAATTACTGTCTCAAGTCACCGCCCCTGTGAAGCTGACTTGAGACACCCAAAAAAACAAAAAAAAAATATTTTCTGATAAATTTTAGGTCATTTTTATTATTGAATTTTGAAGAATGTATGTAGACTCAAAAATGTGTCCTTGTTTCATAATTTTAATTTGCTGGAATACAATTTTACAGTCCTTTGAATTTTGAAACTGTCTCAAGTCACCCAACTTGACGGTATTATTTTTTTATACAGTCAGTTTTTTATTTTATTTTTTAAAATTTAAACAAATTATATTATTAATAAGGAATAATTCATTTTTTATTTTATCAAAAACTGCATATAAAAACGAAAAAAATGGATTATCTGAAGAAATCTGTACGATAATTTATATCATCGTAGAATTTCTTTAAAAAAAGTGTTTTAAATCTAAACAAATTAATATCTGAAAATCTTTTGGATTTTTTTATTAAAAAAAATTATGCTTATACATACAAAGGTATACTTTTATCAGAATTAAATTATTTTTGGAGACATAAAAAATAAAAAAAGAAAAAACGAACTTTTACATTTTTATCTAAAGTTTTGAGGTTTGTTAAAAAGTGCATTCTATAAAAGCTGTAGATTTTTGTTTATTCTACAACTTTTGCATTATACATTTTTTTTTTGAATTCAACTTTCACCAGAAATCGCGACAATACCATTTTCGCCCCTTTTTAACCCCCTAAAACTTTACCTTAATCCCCTCAGTTTGGATTTTTTTTTACTTATTACAAGCCCCTTTACATCATTTACACTTATCAAAACAATTAATTTTTCTCAAAATGAGTTAATTCGAATGGTCTAGTATGGAAATCATAAATATTTTCACAAATAATGTCAAGAAATATTTGAAATAAGGATTTTAAGGTTGAAATTAATAATACAGATTATAACATGATTTAATTTTTATGCTTATACTATTTTTAAAAGAAAGTAACTGATATTTTAGCGTTTAACTTAGGGGTATCCTGTTCTCAAAAATATTATATAAATGGTGTTTTTAAAGAGGCGTAACGAAAAAATTATTTACACTGTCCATTAAGTACCACGTTGTATATACATAGATTGTCAAATACCTAAATAACTTTCAAGTGTTTTATAATTAACGGAGGCAAATAAAACATTATATCTGAATACTCTACTAAAAATTCATTTGTTTCGTTCTAAAATCATCCACTTGTAAACTCACGAGCGAAATTCGTACATACGTTTCAAAATAGAAAAAAATAAATAGAATTAGATGTATAATAATGAAAAGTATCAGACAAATTTAAATTTTGATTCAACAAAATTTCTACATTTTCAATTTTTTAAATGGATACGTTTTTATTATTTCATATTCTTCGGTCAAAAATAAGTGAAGTTCATATTTATTTCCCTTTACTCATCTTGAACGGTTTTTGATAAAAAAAGGAGAATATTAAACTAACAATTTTTATTCCCCCACTGAACAGTTACAAAAGCGATGTAATGTAGGTTTTGTTACCGTGTGGAAAATTTTATGTATGCATCAGAATTTATTTTCAATTAAAAAAACCATTTTTTTGAGATCATAAAAAAATATCTCAAATAATCTATCTTTGTTAGACTAAATCCAAGCTATATCTAAGATAAGTTTTGGATACATTTCTATAGAGTGATTTATTAATGTGAAAAAGTCCAATATTGGCACTATAATCAGAATAAACAAAAAGCGAAGGTAATTCTATTAAAAAAAAAAAATTTTTTTTTCATACACCAAAAAAATTTTAAAATATGAATGTTGCCTACCGTGTTCTTTTTTCACACTAACGAATAATGTCGGTATAAATTTTTAATGAATCATAATATGGTACGGTACCCTGGATCAGATTTTTTTTAATTAGGACTTGGAAACCAACGTGTTGAGGAAAATTGACATAAATACCAATCCTTTTCTTAACGTAAATACCGGCGACGTATATAAGCCATACATTATAATAGACGAGGTTTAGTTTTAGTACGGATCCAGCCAATTAATTGAAAATGCAATATTCATTATGTTATAATGTTTTGATTAAACGGGTCATTTTTCAATTGTCGTTAAAATTTTGATACCTGAAAAAGAAAATAAAATATCGTTAAAAATGAAATAGAAATAGTATTTAAAGACGAATCTGATAGTATAGGAGACCATTGCAAAATGTTGGGCTGATTCTAGTATGATTAAATTTTCATGAAGACATATTTTAGGAAATACTATATAATAGCGTTAACAATAACGTCTGAATACACATTGTCCTCGAAGAGCACGTCGCAATTCATTACACACATTATACACTGGGTAATGGAGCACGTCGTTAACAACAAAGTGTTTTCAGATATTGTTGTTAACGACGTGCTCGAAAAGCGCGTCGCAATCTATTACACACATTATACACTGTCTAATAGAGCACGTCATTAACAACAGAGTGTTTTGAGATATTGTTGTTAACAACGTGCTCGAAAAGTGCATCAGTTGTTAACAACAAAATGTAGTTATATTTCAAGTTCAGTATTCAGTACCTTTCTAAACCGACGCGCAACGCATTTCCTGCCCTGACTCCTTTCACGTCACCACGCTTAACGTCCCGCCGCCCTACTTCTTTACCTTTCTATGTCCCGGCGTTCCATTTCCCGACGCCCTAGTTTCATACCTTTCTACGTTCCGAAGATCTATCTCTCGAACTCTGTCCTGACGAACAAAGTTCCACCACCCACTTCGTGATGCTTTCCGCCGCATAAAAATACCTAAATATTTCCTTCATAATACCTGTGACGACACCTTTTGTCGCGCAGCACCTCCTAAGTATTTCCTACCTTATATCGATCCCGACGCAGTACCATAATAAATACATTCCTCTCCGCTACGACGCCTCAACGAAAGGCGACGCTCAACGCTGCAACGTCGCCTTAATCGACGCCGTCATAACGCTAGATAAAATTATTACATAATGTTTAGTAAAGACGAACCTAATGTCTGTATTTGCAATGGTGAGTCGAAGAAGTTAATGTAACTTCCATTGAGATATCACCTGAGTTTCGTTTGAATAAGGGATGACATTTGCTTCAAAATATTATGTGACCCAAATAACCAGATGGCATTCGGGCATTCACCTGAAAGACAGAAATCTGTTTTTCGATGGGTGCATTTGTGTAATTTTAATAGAAAATATAAAAATCAATATTTAAAAAATATACAGGTCGTATCGTCTTGGGTTATTTATGCACACAAATCTAAGCAAACATAGATGATGAAATTTAATTTAACCAACTGGTGAACTGACACTGTTCGTTAGCTCAAGGGGGGCACCTATATTAGGCACCCGCTCTACTAGGTTTGAACCATAAAGTATATATGTGAACATCAACACAATAGATTAAACAACTGGCGAATTGGCGCTGTTGTTATCTCCGTTGGTCATCATCTCTATACTCGTCGAAATAAATACCTAAGAAAATACAATCCTGTGTATATGTAGGATAGAATCAAGCTAAATAAAATATATATTGATAGCAAATGAACTTGGTCCGTGTTTGAGAATGACTAAAATAAGATCTAGGCAATAAAAACCTATTACCGAGGCCCTTCGTTTGCATTCTTGCAGACGAAAAAATTTTCTTACCCCCACTTTTCCACGTTTCCGATCATTCTAAGTCCGAAAATGTAAAAAATATATGGTCTGGTCGTCTGTGTGTATGTATGCCGGCACGATAACTCTAGAACGAAAGTTCTGATTGACTTGCGGTTTTGATTTTATTGAATAATTGCTTCTAACTTAGAACCCTATTGCTTTTCAAAATTTTAGATTTATCCTAACTACTTTAATATCAATTTTCTTAAAATCCACCCATGCATTTCTTAAGTTACTTATTTTACACATTCCAATCATTCCTAAAGTCTAACATTCCATACATTCCTAAAGTCTAACATTCCATACATTCCTAAAGTCTAACATTCCTAAAGTCTAACATTCCATACATTCCAAGCATTCATTTGAATTTAGAATTATATCTGTCATACTCTGTCAATACAAATTAACGCGGTGTTGCCAAGTGTCCAATTAAATTCAACAAAAAAAAAAATTAAAAATACTTTATTTTTGACATTTCCATACTCTTTAAAAGCAGTTCTATTAATTTATTTCTGGTCACACCCGATGATTTATTTATCCATTTTGATTGAATTGTTGTAGTACATAATTTTTAAATATTAAGATTACGTCATCTATAAAGTAATAAACAATGTACTTTTCAAAAACTTTGAAACAATTACTTTGTGCTGTCCAAAAGTTTTTAAAACTTTTTTGAATCAAGTGAATTATTTGTTTGATAAATGTAGCCAAGTTAAAAGAGTACTATCAACAAGGGGATAGCTGAATTAGTTCAATTTGTGCTGGATTAACTGTGATGTCACTCGGTGGATACTTTTAAGGCATTTCTTTATAAACTTACCACAACATACTTGGTTACAGTATTGTTTACTGTGGTGACGTCACACATATACCGTGATAACGTTCTATTTATTTTTTTGTTTAAGAATCAATGTTTAAGTTTTGCCCCAGATAGCACACGACGTCTAAAAGACGCCTTTTTTGTGTCTTGGTTTGGTCTCAATATCCTAGGACGTTATTAAGACGTCTTATAAGACGTCTGGCAAAAGCGATAATTCAGACGTATTAATGTGAGAGATCAAAGACGTTTTTAAGACGTCTTAAAGACGTCTCTCCAAATCCATATATTAATGTGAAAGCTCAAAGACGTCTTTAAGATGTCTTACAAACGCCTTTCAGTCGGACGGAAACTTAATAGTCCGTCAGATAGTGACAGGTTTAGGTGCCCCATTTTCGCATACAAGCCTCGAAGAGGGTTGAAAAGTTCATCCATTTTAAGTAGAATGAAAGTAAATTTACGAGTGGCTCCTGGGTATAACACATGGAAAATTCGATTTTCCCCAACAAAAATAAAAGGTTATTTGTTGTCCATATATCCACGCAAGCCGTTTTTACTATATGATTAATTAATAGAACTAGGCTTCGGAAAACCAAAGGCTTTAATGTTGCAAGTGGCTAAAGGGTTGAAATAAGGGCGTAATCTTCTAAGGAAAAATTGAGATTTTACCAGATTTTTCCACACCGAATGTATGAAAACGTACATCGTCACTAGTCCGAAAAATATATTTTCTTGAATGACCTAACTGTATAAGTGCATTTTGGGGTCGGAAAATTTTTCTGATAAGGAAAATCGAATTTTCCATGTGTTATCCCCAAGAGCCAGTCGTAAATTTTATTTTACTCAACATTGATGTACTTTTCAAACCTCTTCGAGGAATGTGTGCGAAAATGAGGCACCTAAATCGGTCACTATCTGACGGTCCATAAATAATTCAAATTTAAAAGAAGAATCAAATGAAGTAAAGTTTGACGTTTGACTTAAAACTACATTCAAGCCCAAGCTTATTGTGGATTATTGATTATTCTATTGCGTACGCGATTATAGCCGCCAAAAATGTGTTTGGGCTACTTTGGGCATTTGTGTTTGGTCTCTTTTTACTTAAATAATATAGGACTAAAACCAGAGAAGGAATTAAGAGTAGTGTTACCGATGTAGCACGTTCCTGGAATATTTTCTACAGGTAATAAATGAATATTTGTTTAAATACATAGAACATTAATATGCTGTTTCTTCTAAATAATAATAATTAAATTAATTAAAAAGTAAACATCTTAATATAAGATTTAATTCAGATATTCGTCAATTTCCTTTTTTTTGTTTTTATGGAGATTTCGAGAACTATTGATATCAAAAGACCCATCTAGATAGCTATTTTGAGTCAAGTTAAAGTAAAATTATCAAAATAGGCGATTAAGTATAATAGCTCATCTTGTCTTAAATGATTTGTTATAAAAATTAATTAATTAAAATTCTAAGAAATTAATTTTTTGTTTTGTTTCATAATTCATTGTTCTTTCGGTTTTTACTAACTTTTGCAAAGAATAACTTCCTGTGATTATAATTTCTTTTTAGTAGCGATTATACAAAGCAACTTCAAATCAAAAAGAAAGAGAAAAATCAATCCAGTTATGGCTAAAGAGGAGTGATCGAATGCGCTACAAAGAAAATAACTCAAAGACGTCTCATATGTCTTATGCTAGACGTCTTAAAGACGACTTTGTGCTTTATAATCTAAGGCTTTAGCAAAGGAAGCTGTTCGCTTCCAGAGTTTCCAGAGGCGGGGTAATGAGATTTTACCCACATACATTTCTGAAATATTATATTTAGAGAACATTTTTACGTTTCAGGCATATTTCAGAAATGTTTCTGGGATGTTTCGTAATATTTATAGAACATTGCAAATGTTTCAATGTAACATTGTTGAAATATTTCCGAAATGTGTTTGTGCTGTATGGGTATTTTTTTACTATATTCAAAGGCTAAATATTGGTTTGTAAACACTTTTGCAAAATCGATTCTGATTAATGTGCGCTTGTAAGGCAATATGGCCGCTCGTAAACGACCCGCTTTGAGCAATCTATATAACTATATATGTATCATTAACCCTGTCAATGACACCAGGCTCACAGGGTTGCCATATCTAAATGTCAGGTCACTTGTCAGCAGTTTGACAGGACGTTGGAATGCCTAATAATATTTTGACGCCACGCTACCGTTCCTTTACGTGACGCTGATGTTTCGTATAGTGCGAATTGACCATTAATTGTCAGCGCCGCAAAGAATACAAAACTGATTGTACACTAATCCACTTTCAAGGCTTAGCCTTTAATGGAAATATCAATTTTATTTACCCATGTTTTTATTAATATATTATATTAGGTCAATAAAAAATGTATTTTAAACAAATTAATGGTAATAAATATTATTTACAAATTCTCATAACGACGCCCATGCTCATCTGCCACCCATAACGCAAAGGATGATGGTCGGTAGCCGGGCATAGAAAATTATATTTTATTATTATTTATCGATCGTATAGAAAATTTTCCAGAAAAGCGATGGGTCGTCAGGGTGGCACATTTTTTAAATTATTAAGTTTTTTTTATAATATTAACAATACGTTACCCGACTTTCCATAAAAAATTAACCACACTAGTGTTCGGCCCAACATTTTGCAGCAATCTCCTTTACTAAATCATCGATCGTACCAGCGACATTCTTACCTTACCGCTTAAACCCTACAGTTAGTAAACAAAACGGATAGTGTACGTTTTAGTCACAGTCAAGGTCAGAGTTGGCTCGAACACAACGCAGGATCGGACTCTGATTTGCGCGAGAAACACAAACAGCCGGGGCTCGCATTGCTGGTCGGTTTGAGCTCTTTGTCGCGTTCCACCAGGCATTTTTGATAGTAATCGAAGTCCTTGAGGTACCAGACGGGCGGCCAGCGGTGCTCCACGAGATAAGCCTGGTTGTCCGGATGCAACAGTCTTAAACTACGCGGCGACATCTTGCACAGCTTGTTGTAATTGATGCACAAGTGATTCATGCACCAGTCGGCCAATTGGTGACCGTTGTGTAACTGAAACAATTAATTATAAACAATAATCAAAGTATTCAAATATTATATTCGTACCTTAACCGGTTCTAACAGTCTTAAACATTGTTCGATAGCTTCAGACGGTTGCAGCGTCTCCAAGTCTTCTATCACTCGCTTTTCTACTAAATCGACTAGTCTTGGTAGACAGAGTCTGTTCGCCAGCTCGAGCAAATTGACACATCGGACGGCGGATACATCTGGTACGTCGTCTGTGTACAGGAAACACAGCAACTTGTGAAACGTGTATTCTCTAACGCCCGGGAATTCAATCTACGAACAATTTAAAAAGTTAGGTATAATTAAACCAGAGATCTAGTGACTAGCGTACCTTCTCTACCATTAAGTTTTGTTCTTAAGGTCAATAATTGGGGTAAAATAAATATTAAGAAAAATCGCAATAATTCAAAATTGTTTATTTAATTATACAGTGTATACAAAAAGTAACGTGGTAACTTGGTAAAAGCAAAAATCAGTATGACAAAGTACGAAAAAGTAGGTATGTAATAGAAGTGCTAAAAAGTAGAAAATAAAGTATTTAAAAGTACAGAATGTAGGTTGAACATATAAAATATAATTACAAAATTACTCACAAAGTTCAGTTTCACTTTCACTATCGTCATCCAAATTAATAATGAACCTTTCTCTTGGTATCTTTTCTATATCAATATATGTCTTTCCCACCTTTTTTTATATGGGAAACACACTTGATCCAGCTGCTATCAGGAATTTTTGCAGCTTCTGTTTGAATAAGAGCTACCACAATCGAACTTAGGGTTGGAGAAGTATTATTTCTTTGAACTGCTGACTTAAGCTGACGCCATATATGTTCAATTGGGTTAAACATACAGTGGTAAGGAGGAAGTCTGAGCACCGTATGTCCCAAGCTCTCAGCTAATGTGTCACTAAAATATTTCTTTTGTATTGAATAGCTTTTTAAAACTTTCAGTAACTGCTTTTTTGTGTACTTTTCCTCAAAGTACAAATCATTGTTTACCATGTAATCTAATATGATGGCGTTTATGTCGTTTGAACAAGGTGCCTTATCTAGTCTTCGACTGTGGTAGCTGGCATTATCCATGACGATAACACTGTTGGGTGGAATATTTGAGAAAAGTTTAGTTTGGAACCAATCTTCAAATAATTCGGCAGAAGTGTCGGTCATGGTAATCGACTAAAGAGTCCCTAATGTTTTTTGCCGATAACGACAACGCATTAGGTATAAAACCATTATTGGTTCCTGCGTGTATTATGGTAATACGTTTGCCTTTATTATGTGGCGCATTAGTCTGGCACAAGTCAGATGCATCTACCCAACGTTTGTTTGGAATATCGTGTGTATCGAACTAAGTTTCATCCAAATACACAACTGTTCTGCCAGCTTCTCTAAAATCATTTATCGCCAATAAATATTGAAATCTCCATTGCTTAAGGCGCACAGATTCCATTATGACTTGTTTGCTGTTTTTTAAATTTAAACCCGTTTCTTAAAAGAGACTTCCTTAAAGTGTCTTTGCTACACTGGATGCCAGTTCTTTTCAAGTCGTTGCATCAATATATCTGGTGTAGGAACAATTTGCTCTCTATACAAGTCATATATTTTTCTTCGAATTAGGTCTACATCACAGCCATCTAGTTTCTTTGAAGTACCAGAGTCTTTTCTTTTCCTTTTTTTTTTAATAGAGTTACTATTTTAAATACTGTAGAATACGGCGTTTTTATTTTTTATGCGAAAACCATACATCTTGCGAACAAAGACCAAGAGACCAGATATACTATAAAAGAAATAAAGAATTCAAAAATGTTTTTTATTACAAGAAAAACCAGTGGCGTACCATTTTTTTAAAGAAATATTCAGTTCAGAGCCCGCATGAACGCCAATGGCGAATGTAAAAGTTTAAACTGTGTATTGGAAAATGGCTTTGGATGCATAGAAATTGCGTTCCAATTTTCAGAAATATATCTACAGGGGTATTAAATATATCGCAAAAAATAAGTTTTTTTCTTATAACTTTACCACCCTGTAATTCAAAATCTAAGAGGCGTAGTATGTTCATAGGAACTTTTTTGCTTCATTTCGTCCAAGGGACACGCCTCTGAATTTTTTCGCAATATTAAAAAAACACCCTGTATATTTGATTGTTTTTACATCGTCAAACAATTTTAATAGACTTCATGCATTTTCCATTTAAAAAATTGAGACGAACCTAATCTCGCGTTTTGACAAACCCTATATACAACATAGCAAATAAATATTATAAGTATATCCAAATTTTTTTTTAAAACTTTTTTGCGTATCTAAAACACAAATTGAAAAATTGAACCTAATGAGACTCCCTGTATATTCGTTATTTCATTAAAAATAAACTTTAAAAATGGAAACTGTCAAAAGTTTGCATAGCTATATTTCGAGTAAACTATCTTTAAATAAAACATTAAAGCTGCTATTAAATTATAAAGTGTTGTAACCTACCGCGCCCAGGCACCTTCATAATTTATTAATTCCATTTTATTAAAGAAAAATTGCATTCTTATTAAATTCAAAATCCTTCATTTAACGAAAAAATCTCCCAGATAATTAGATCATATTTACGACACCTAATAAATAATATCTATAACACTGTCCGTAAGAGATCCAATTCTCTTGTAAGTGTCTGGGAACCCAACCCGAAACCACCATACACCATATCTTAAGTCAGTTTTGAATAGTAACATTATTTCGACACACAAATTTTTCAAGGCAAGTAATAAATCGACCACCCCTTTTATATCCACCCAAATTCGTTCCCACCGGAGATACGACAAGTTGACGTCACTAAAACTCACTAAATCGAGTATAAAGACCCGATCCAGAGGGACTCGAGATTACAAATCATTAAGAAATCAAACTCAATTCAGTTTTTTACAATCTCCAGTCATTCATTACTCTTCAAATCTAGTATATTTCAAGTTCAATATTCACTACCTTTCTTAAACCGACGCACCGACGTTGTCATCTCTTTTATCCGACGCTCTACGTCCCGATGCTCTATATCCCATTCGACGCTCTACGCCCCTACCTACGTCACGACACTCTCTCTTATACGACGCTCTTTCTTATACGACGCTCTGCGTTCCGAGTCCCTCTCTACGCCACGCCGCTCTACATTCCGACGCTCAACGTCCCGATGCCCCTCCAATATTTCCAAATCAGCAACACTTCCACGTATCAACAACAGAAATAGATGGTGAGTCAATAATTTAAAAGAGGTTTATTATTATATTATTCATTATTATAGAAATGTATTGTTCATTAACGTCACATTTGGGCCTCTAGAGTCTGGACATGTCCCAGTATGCATTTGCAATTTTATTATACCAGCCTAATAACTATTTAAGAAGTGCCAATATACCCTCGCCAATAGTTACTAAATTAACTGCTCAGCTAATTGGGATAAATGACACTTTGGACAGCTAGACTCGCATCTTACACAAATATGCTTGATGTCACTGCAGGGTTGAACAATCTTAAATAATTATCTCTTAATCTTCGCACCGTAGGTAGATCTGCACATAAGGGGTAGTTCGCTGGTATTGATCCGGATCTATTCTAGTAGGACTACACTACCCAGACAGCACACCAAATCCTTTGGATATCTGCTGGACATCCCAATATCCACTGAATGTCCAGTCCATGGTGGATATCTATTTTATAATTAAACTACTGGATATTGGATATTTTAAGTGAGATCATAGGAGTGGACTACAATACACAGCTTTACTTCCAATTAACAAGTGAAGAATTTAAAAATTGTATCTACTTGGAGGCAAATCAATATATTTGTTCACCCGCTGTTGTGAAGAACATCGAAACAAATTCAAATTGTGTAATAGACGAAATTTATGAAAGACCAGACACCACTCAGTGCAAGATCAAAAAACATAGAGCTGCCCAAATAACATGGAAACAGCTTCACATGCCCAATACTTGGCTCTTTTTTACCAGTAAACCAGTCAACGTGGCTGTCATATGTCAAGGTATACGAGAAGACGTAAAACTCAATTCGACTGGAATTATTCATATATCACAGGACTGCATTATAAAAACGAAAGAAAATATTTTATTCCCAAAAAGATTGGAAACTGTTCCTGTCCTAGGTAGTTACTCAAAGGCTCTAGCGCCTACTATCAACACTACAATAGAATTCCCATCACACGACACTATCGCAGAAGAAACTGTGTTTAAACTTACTGTTAACTTAAAAGATATACGATCGGAAGAAGAGACACTTCAAACAAAAATTAAAGAAACAACCTGGAAAAAACTAAACCAGCATACATATTTGTCTAATGGGGTAACTGCAGTGATCATAGGAATCGCAGCCTTGGGTATATGGTTTGGAAACCGAATATACAACAAGAGGATCCAAAGAATACACCATCAGTCAAATCAGCCTGAAGTAATCGAGCTCCAGCCCCTGAGATAAATTGGAGAGACGCCAGAATGTTCAATCAGAACATAATAAAATAACATCCTGTACATCAAAGTTTAATTTATTTCACCATAAATTAAACAGTTGAAATTAGAACGATTTCTGGTCGGCGAACCTGAATATTGCAACTCAGCGAAAATATCTAGTTCGTTGTTTAATTAATTAGCAAAGTTTGTTATCTTATTTTTAATATTGTTGAAATTTATTTAATAATAATAGTTTATAAAATGTTCATTTTTTTTAAAAATAAATGCTTTTTAACCCCACGTTTCGTCTATCCAACATCCTTAAAATTAATATAATAATTATTAAAAAATAGCCCTTATTTTTTAATACAAATTATTCAGATGTAAATTATAGACATAAAAATGTCCATAAATAATAGTAATTATATAGCAAATTATTAAAAAATTACGCCATTGTGTTCGCCATTGTGGCTAATAGTACCGTTCAGATATTTAAAATTAATTTTTTTAAGGTGTATTCAATATCTCATGGACATCCACTAAATATATCAAAGTCTAGGCGCGATAGCAAACCATCGTGGATATCCACTAGATGTAATTTTTGATTTTGCTTACTAAGTATAGATGGCGATATCACTTTCGCATCTACTCATGCTCAACCCGCCGTAATTGAGTTCGATCGAAATTTATATCATAATCAGACTCCATTAGGGACTGGAGTCGAGAAATTTCATTTATTGCTGAAGAGTCCTAATAAGGATGACTTTCTCCTTAGTGGGCAAAATCAAAGGCAGAATGTGTTGAAAATATTTTAAGTGTTGAGAATATTTGTTATCTCTGCTTATTTTCTTTCGACGTTATTCAATAATCATTGGTTACTTATCAACCTTTACTAAAGATACCCATAAAATATTTTGCTGAATATTCGAATATCTTCTATATCCTGGGATATAGACGGACATTTGGTTGGATATCCATATTGGGATATATTGGATATCCACAAAATATATTCTGTGGATATCTCTGGGATTTCTTGTATTGTCTGGAAGACACCCATTAGATATTTTGCTGGATATGCATAGGATATCTTCTATATTCTGGATATAGACGGACATTTGGAGATCCATATTAGATCCACGGAATTTTTCTGATATCCTGTGAATATATTGGATATCCACAAAAGATATTCCGTGGATATCTCTGGGATTTGGTGTGTTGTCTGGGTACATAAACCCCCCTAGGTGAGGCTGAAACATAAGGGATGTCCGTCTGTTATTGCAACGACTGTATCCCAGTAAGTGCACCTACATAAAAAAGAAACGACGACGACGAAAAAAAAAAAAGAATTATTAAAGATAGTGCAAGTCTGCTGTATATCCTCAAGAATTCTTCAACAGTATATATTTAATGGCAAGTGACCTGTTTATTTGGGCGGGACACATGTGAGAGGAAAAAGACCAAGTACAGTAAGTATGAATTACTTTGAATTTCACAAAGAGGAGGGAGGTAATTAAATACGTGCTTTTGAATAATAAAGAAGCGACCAGGGGGTGGGCGGTTACATTGTAATAAATAATAATTTAAAAATCAGTGATATAAAAATTAAAAACGCAATAGGCCGAAGATGCCAATTGTTTTTATGATAAATTAATATTATTTATGACTTCGTTATCTGTGTTTAATGGTGTTATTATAAACAGACACTCTTAAAAACATTTCATATTCGTTTTTTAGAATTTCCTTAATAGTTACATTCGTATTAGACAGACAAAAAGTCCTTCCATGTGCGGATCACTTACAAGAGTCAAAAATGCCAAATCAATTTTAACTCTACAGTAAAGAGTAACATTTTGTAAGATGATAGCCAAATATTTGGAGGCGATGACAAACTGATGCCTTTCAAGAAAATAAATAACAGACTGGTTACGAGTTGAATATTGTTAGCACATGCACAAAGATAGTTGAAAACTAATGTTCGTTGAAGTCAAATTTATATTATTTTATCGATTTAAGATTACTTTATGAACTACTTTTTTTTTGTATAAATATTCTTGACTGATAGTTTGTGAGTTACAATTTGGTATCGCGATAGTGCATATTCGACGAGTTTAATTTATTGTGTAGTATATTAGATACATTGAAAGTTTATTAAATAGATATTAAAATTCTTCGAATAATGCAAATTTTTCTAAACTAAAAAAAATTGTGAATATAATCGTGAAAAAAGTTGAGTTGGGTCTTTACAGTCTGTGACTAATTATTTATAGCATCGCCAACACTTACCACTTTAGCTTGGCTTTCTCTGAAATCCCCTCTAAACATGGCTTTCATGACGTCGCACCGGGCGGCCATCATACCCTTGTGTGCAGTACAAGCGCCGTCATCTAACTCGAATATGACGTCGGCGAAAAGGCCCTGCTCCAAACAGATGTCCTGCAATCTTCTCTTGATGAAATTTTCGTAATCTTCGTCTGGCGGATCGGGCGCGACGAACGGATGTTTCGTAAGCATCACTAACAACTGGGGCAGTTCTAAAAATTCGGCGGCTTCGCGGGTTTCCTGGAAATTATGGAACTGAAATATGATATATTATCGACAATTAATACAAGTATTGCTTAACGTGATTGTTTTTATTTGCTTCCAAAGCATATTAAGAATATTGCAGAGGAGCTCACTGCAAAATGTTGGGTCGATCACTAGTATGGCTAACACGTCGTTAACACTATCAAGGCAGCACACATTGGTATAATTACCGTATTTTATACGTAATTCTCGATTATATTGGGTATTGGTTAATTCCGTATACGTTTACAGTTTAAGATTATTATACATACCATTTTTTATATTATATATTATCTCAGATAAATAAATAATAATAGATAACTGAATGTCAAAAAATTACATTGCGTTTGTTTGAAAGCAACATATACAAGCCAGTTGTTAGGAGGGGAAGAGCGGGGTTTGTTAGTTTTATTATCCAGTAGCGTATCAAATAAATGTCAATAGAAATGCTTTTGATTTATATTATAGTTTTGAGATATTTCAATGGATCAATGTTTCTAATATGAGATGTTTATAGAAAACCGTCAAAAATTAATTTTTCAGTCGACCAATACATATATTTTTTAAATTAAAAACATACATTATTTTTATACACAATTTGAATAAACGTTGCAATGATAGGTTTTATAAATTCTAAATTTTTGTAATAATATTTTTTAATAATATCGATTCTTTTGTAAATTATTTTTATTGATTTGTTATGAGTACCCTTATATATGTAATAAAAAATAGAATAAAGTATCTGTTTATTGTTAGTCCCTTTTAAATTAATTAAATTTTGTGCACAAAATATTTATGGTTTTTAATAATTGGGAAAGTAGGGTTAAAAAAACAATTGTAATTCATTTTATTAAATAGTTGGGTTAGATCTGGAAAACAAAACAAAGACAAATGTTATAGTAACAGTTTAGAATAAAGCGATACTTATGTAATAAATGATAAGTTCATAATTACCGTTTTAAAATATTGCCAAGGTTTTCTAATACACAATATTTTGAATAATAAAACTTAATTTCGATGAATTCTTGTCAGTTAGAAATAGAACAACGTTAAGCAATTTTTTAGAGACATTGTGTTATTGTACTCATTTGGTTTAATAACAATTAATAATGGATAATGGTGTGATTATAATAATAATTTAGTTGCCAACAATTTTCCTTTCACATAATTTATAAATCAAATAATTATGTGACAGGTACCTAGATAACTAAAACTAATATTCATTAACTACAGATAAATGAAACCCAACAATTTTCCTACCACACAATTTACAAATTAAATTAATTATGAGACGTGATAAGTAAATTTAATATACATTCACTTGAGATGTTGTTGGGAATGGGGTGTTAATACACTGCGACCTAAAATATTTATTGCGCCCCTTTCTGTCGCTAATGCACCAAGGAAATGTCTCAATGCCTATAACGACCCTTCCAATCCTATCTTCCCAAGGAAGTGTAGGATTTGGAGTGGCTTCGTGTTAGGTAAATCTCTCTCTCTTTTCTATTTGGTATCCTCCTACTAGGTATAGTGCCCTTGGATTCTGGAGTACTGCACATTCAGTTAGAATGTGAATGGAGGTTTCGTCCTCCTCCTCACAGAATCTGCACTCACTATCCTCTACTACTCTCAGTTTACTAAGGTGTCCTTTAAGTCGATAATGCCCGGTAAGGATCCCTGTTACAATACGAAGCCTGTTCTTGCTCAGGCAGATGCAGGCTGTGATGTATGCCTTATTTATACACTACTCAATAAAACAACACCTTGCTGTAAGCTTTTATTCTCTAGTATTCTGATAAACACAGTAATTCAGTAATGGTTACAAGCAGAGCTGGGACGAATCCTCGAAAAATGGATTCGAATCACGAATCCGAATCACGAGATGTGATTCGAATCACGGATCCAATGTTCGAATCCTTTAAAAAAAAAAGGATTCGAATCCTTTTTTTCGGATCACGGATCCGAATCACTGTCAGTGTTATACTGTGGTATTAATTATACTCGTTGTAATGCTGCCAACTGTCTTATATTTGTTAAGGAACTTTGTTATACAATTCTGTAAAATGAGTTTTGACCCGTAAATAAATAAATAAAAACATTTAAAACTTGAAGCTGAAAAACGAAGCTGGCTGTCACATTTAGCATATAGGCGATTACCTAAGTGACGGGCTCTACTGACTACATACTCGTATAAGTATAAAAATTGTTTAAACTTTACTCCCAGACAGCACACGACATCTTAAAGACGTCTGTTTTATGTCGTAGTTATGACTGAACGCCTAAAGACCTGAAAAAGACGTTGTAAAGACGTCTTTATAAAGACGTCTTTTAGGACACATAAATAGACGTCTTAAAGACGTCTTTTAAATGCCTATCTATTTAAAAAATATAAAAAATAATGGTAACATTAAAAAAGTACTGGTTTCTAATTTCACAAGATATCTATAAATTTATTTTTAATTTTTTTTATTAATTTACATAATTTACTTATTTTTTTATTTATTCACGAGCATTTTTTCATTAGAGTAAGTAAATATTTGATAACATAAAAATAATAACAATAAATATAACTCTTAAATAAAATTAACAATTAAAACATGAGACAAATTGAATTACGCGCTCTTTCACCTTAACCGGGAACATGGTTCAACGATCGAAGCGAATGTTTTTATTATGCTTTGTCTTTTTTCAACAGTAGAATTTAAACAAGGACATGTATCTGAATGTGAATATTATTGGGGTTCCGTGGTTCGTGGCGTTCTGCGTTGTCCTTTCGTTGTCATTTGTCGTTGATGTTGAAGATAAAAACCGAGAGGTTAGTTTTTGTTAGTTACTATGGTTACTCGTTGATTTTTTTATTTGTGTCTTGTGCCGTGGATTACTGTGCATTTATAAGCAAAAAAGTTTACTGCATATAGTGAAAAACCAAATAGAAGAACCTTTATTAGTGTTTTAAGTACGTCTAGGCGTCTAGAGCTGACATAGAAGCTTCATCGGATGTAAATATATCTGAATTAGAGTTGAAAGTACAGGAAGATTGCCATTATTTGACCACCCTTGACCCACACTATCTACTGAAAATCCTATTAAAGCGAATTTGACAGAGTGAGCTATAATGCATAATATTTTACACAGCGCAGTTAAAATTATTGCTTAGAAGGGCATCCGACAGAAGATTAACCACTAATGGAGGAAGAATAAAAAAAAATAAATTGTAATATTACTTTTTTTAACGAAATGTTTCAGTGTTTTGTTAATAATAATGTTTATAGAAAATATGTGTTTTATTTTGTATAGAAGAAATTTACAGAAGCTTTTAAAACTAAATCAGAAAGTACGTCTTACCAATGTCGAAAAACAGACATATTTAAGATGTCTTAAGAACGTTACCTTTTGTAACATCAGACGTCTTAAAGATGTATTTAAGACGTCTGGCCGGCGTCATAAGACGTCTTTTAGACGTCTGTCATGTCTCTGACAGACGTCTTAAAGATGTCTTTGTGCTGTCTGGGCTTAAGTTTCCTTGTAAATCTAAAAAAACTCTATTTGATGCTGTTATTTATCGATTTTTCACAAGAATCACTAATTTTTAATTATATTTTATATTAATAACTAAAACTCATTTTAAATAATAAAAAAAATAGTCAACTTGACATTAAGTAATGAATTGTAATTGATAGAAAACATAGAATGGATATAATTATATATTATATTCGTTCAATAGACTAATATCGCCCACATATTTATTTTGTATATTGTGCAAAAATAAATAATATACCTACATGCCCAGCTAGCACATAACGTTACCAAGTCTTTCGGCGATGTTGTTTTAAGGGAACATAATAACATACCCATACAACGTAATTGCAACGTTAATGAGAAGTTGTTGAGGGAAATCAAAACCTCGCGAAACATCTATTTGTTACTTACGTATTTAACCTGCCTGTTATGATAACACAACGTAATTAAGTAACTTGCTAAAAAAGTTTCCACGAGAAGTACTATGGACTTTCGAACGTAGCCATTCGTTTGTCATAACCAACAAAACATAAAAAAATGTCACTTGTCACTTTTCTTCAGATTTTAAAGAAATTGGGAACTATACGTTTGAATAACTTTGGTAAGTTGTTTTCTTCTTTTCAATAAATTTTCTAATTTTCTAATTTATTGTCTGTTGTTTTAGATGGTAAAATTTCAATTTCCAAATACAATAAAAAATAAATCATTGTAAACAAGTAGATACAATTAAATGATGAAATATTTATTTTACACGATAATAGGGATCTTATTGATGCCTTAATACTATAGAAGTAACGATATTAAACAATGAAAGTATCGATATTTAGGCACTGAATTACCAATACTATCGCCATAGTGATACTTAGAAGCAAGTATTGTATCGCTATGTGTGTGGTCAGAGATTATAAGGTTTGTTCAAATATTTGTACTGAAATATTTTAGTTTTTGCATGTGGTGAAACTTGGTAATATGATTAAGCGTTACCACTGTTTTTTTGTTATTTAATTATAAGGTAAATTGCCAGTTATTGACACTATAACTTGTACCAGGTAGAGTACCAGTAGAGAAAGAAAAGGTGTCGACTACAGAATATACTTTACTGATGCACTCTTGTTATTAGTTAAGTTGCCTACTCCGTCCTGTTGAATGGGGGTTGCCAGCAAAAATCTTTTACTTTTTCGATACTTTGTTACTCGAGACTTATAAATATCAATATCTTTAACATAATATCAAACAGTATCGATGCCTCTACCACAAAGTATCTCACATGATACCGGTATTGATACCTTTGACCAATACTCAACCCTACTCCCAATTATAAAAATACAAAAACAGAGAAGTCATATACTGCCATCCTAACAAGAGAAGTCCTATCTGAAAATTTATATTTATTATCTTTTAAACCTTTTTTTGTGTAACTTTTTAACATTTTAGTACCTTTGTTACAAATAAGACATTCCTTTTCAGTATCGAGAAAGATAAAATGTAGACAA